GTGAACTGTCAACTAAATAATAGTAAGATAATGTATGATTATGAAATGAAAACTGACAGCTATGTGATATCTAAAGCAAGAGGAAGGACATTTATAATTGTCTACAAGGAATTTTGGGGTATAAGTTTAAAGGCAAGATACGTATACCATGAAATGAAAAGACAAAATTAGACTACATAGAAATATCAGGGAGAAATGCTTTTAAATGAAACTTTGCCTTCTTTTTGAAAAATTTGTCACAAGAAAATGAGAGTTCTTTTAAGATAAAAAGTTTGTAGATTTTCCCTCTTCAATGTCTGTTATATAACATAGGTCCTCTACTTGCCAAAAGATTACTAAATAATATTATTTTATAATCATCTAGTGATTTAAAATTTTCAATATTTATAGCTCTTATTTTCTTTGAGACTGCAACACTCCTAAGAGGTATGTAAGTTTAAGAACATGAATACATATTTATATATGTGTGCGTATATACACTTACATGCACATGTATATATAAACATATGTGTGTATATATATACCTACATATACCTATATAAGCATACACATATATTTATGTGTTTGTGTATAGATATAGTTTTTCTTTTTGATAAACTAGGAGATTGGGGCCAGATATATTCAATAAATCTATAATGTCATGAGTTGGCTAAAGGCAGAGAACTCCAGAAGCTGTGTATGTCTTATTTTAAAAATCTACTTTAAAATAGATTTATGTTTAGAGAATAGTTACAAAGATAGTGACATGGTTTGGTCGTGTCCCCACCCAAATCTCATTTTGAAATGTAGTTCCCATAATCCCCACATGTCATAGGAGGGATCTGGTGGGAGGTAATTGAATTGTGGGGCAGTTACCTACATGCTGTTCTCGTGATAGTGAATGAGTTCTCACAAGATCTGTTAGTTTTATCAGGGGCTTTTCCCCACCTTCACTTTGCACTTCTTGTTGTCAACATATGAAGAAGGATATGTTTGCTTTCCCTTCCACCATGATTGTAAGTTTCCTGAGGCCTACCCCGCCCTGTGGAACTGTGAGTCAAAAAAACCTCTTTCCTTTATAAATTACAGAGTCTTGGGTATGTCTTTATTAGCAGTGTGAGAACAGACTAATACCATACATTTCCACCAGTAGAGTGGAGTGCTGCTATAAGGATACCCCAAAATGTAAAAGTGACTTTGGAACTGGGTAACAGGCAGAGGTTGGAACAGCTTGGAAGGCTCAGAAGATAAGAAAATATAGGAGAGCTTGAAACTTCCTACAGACTTGGAGGGCTCAGAAGACAGGAAGATGTGGGAAAATTTGGAACTTTCTAGAGACTTGCCGAATGGCTTTGACCAAAATGCTGATAGTGATATGGACAATAAAGTCCAGGTTGAGATGATTTCAGATGGAGATGAGGAAATTGTTGGGAACTGGAGCAAAGGTGACTCTTGTAATTCTTTAGCAAAGAGACTGGCAGCATTTTGCTTTGTCCAAGAGATCTGTGGAACTTTGAACTCCAGAGAGATCATTTAGGGTATCTGGCAGAAGAAATTTCTAAGTGCCAAAGTGTTCAAGACGAAGCAGAGCATAAAAATTTTGGAAAATTTGCAGCCTGATGATGCAATAGAAAAGAAAATCTTATTTTCTGGGAGAAAATGAAGGCTGCTGCATAAATTTGCATAAGTAACAAAAAGCAGAATGTTACTTACCAAGACAATGGGGAAATGTCTCCAGGGCATAGGCATGTCAGACACCTTCACAGCAGCCTCTCCCATGGAGGCCTAGAAGGAAAAAGTGGTTCCCTAGGCCAGGCCCAGGGCCCACCTACTGTGTGTAGCCTAGGAACTTGGTGCCCTGCATCCCAGTTGCTCTAGCCATGACTAAAACGAGTCCAGGTACAGCTCATGCCACGGCTTCAGAGAGTGTAAGCCTCAAGCCTTGGCAGCTTCCACGTGGTATTGAGTATACAAGTACACAGAAGTCAAGAAGTGAGGTTTGGGAATCTCCACCTAGATTTCAGAAGATGTATGGAAATGCCTGTGTGTCCAGGCAGAAGTTTGCTGCAGGAGTGGGGACTTCATGGAGGACCTCTATTTGGGGAGTATGGAAGGGAAAAGTGGGGTTGGAGTCCCCACACGCAGAGTCCCCACTGGGGCACTGCCTAGTGGGGCTGTGAGAAAAAGGCCACCATCCTCCAGACTCCAGAATGGTAGACCCACTGACTGCTTGTATTATATGCTACAGACACTCAATGCCAGCCCATGAAAGCAGCTGGGAGGGGGACTGTACCCTGCAAAGCCAAGGAACAGAGGTGCCCAGGTTTTGGGAGCCTACTTCTTGCATCAGTGTGTCTTGGATGTGAGGTATGGAGTCAAAGGAGATTATTTTGGAATTTATGGTTTAATGACTGTGCTGTTGGATTTCAGACTTGCATGGGGCCTGCAGACCCTTTGTTTTGGCCAATTTTACCAATTTGGAATGGGTGTATTTCCCAATGCCTGTAACTCTACTATATCTAGCAAGTAGTATAACTAATTTGCTTTTGATTTTACAGGCTCATAGGCAGAAGAAACTTGCCTTGCCTCAGACGAGACTTTGGACTTGGACTTTTGAGTTAATGCTGGAATGAGTTAAGACTTTAGGGGACTATTGGAAGGGCATGATTGTATTTTGAATTGTGAGAACAAGAGATTTGGGAGGGGATGGGGCAGATGATATCGTTTGGTTGAATCCCCACCCAAATCACATCTTGAACTGTAGTTCCCATAATCCCCTTATTTCATGGGAGGAACTGGTGGGAAGTAGTTGAATCTTGGGGTCAGTTACCTTTAAGCTGTTCTTGTGATAGTTAGTGAGCTCTCATGAGGTCTGATGTTTTTATAATGGGCTTCTTCCACCCCTTCACTCTGCACTTCTCCTTGCTGCTACCATGTGAAGAAGAATGTGTTTGCTGCTTCTGCCATGATTGTAGGTTTCCTAAGGCCTCCCCAGTCCTGCAGAACTGTGAGTCAATTAAACCTCTTTTCTTTATAAATTACCCAATCTTGGGTACATCTTTATCAGCATCATGAGAACGGATTAATATGCAGATAGTAGATAATTCTTATACACCCATGCCCAATTTTTCTGTGTATTCTCATTTTTAATCTGGTGTTTTTTCACAGTTTTTCAATGGTAAAGAATTGTCTTAGAGTTGTACATGTAGAGTTGGAAGAAAAATGAAAGAGTCAGTCATCTGGATAATTCCGGGCTAGAAAACAATTTTGTGTGAAAGGTATAGATAATTGAGACAGAATGCCAATTCTTTTTTTTTTTTTTGGCCTGGAGAGATTCCTATGATTGCCTTCCTCTTTCTGTTGAGTCTGTAGGTATAGTCATAAGCATAGGTGTTTCACATATTACTGTAATAGGAAACTGTATATCATTGAATGTGAAGAATGTGGGTTTTTGGGGAGGATTAAATTGCTTTGTTCTATATATCTTTTTCTTAAAAATAAAGTATATTGGCTTTTTTTTCACTGTAAAAGCAATCCATATTGATTTGAGAATAGTAGAAAATATAGATAGGAAAAGAACAAAAGAAATCACTGGAAGTTCACAACCTAAATAAAGCCAAAATCAAAAATTTATTTATTTACTTCTGGTATTTTTAATATGTATATATTTTGGATCTGTTTGCTTAGTTTAGAGTATGCAAACAGCATACTTCTTAAGATTTCTTTTTTATTTTTTTTTTAATTTAAGCTTAATCTCCAGCCATGTCTATAAAAGCTACTCTAAAATGGCAGGGGAATTAAATTGTTCAGTGTGGTTCACTGTAAGGAGGCCATTTAGTTTATTTGGAGAAGAACTGTGGCTTTTGGAAATCCACATATTATGTTAGTTGGATAGTGGTTGATGGTGCAGAGATATTTTAAGATACCATCAATGGGAAATAATATGTTAGAGACTTTCAAAGACTAACGTAGTTGCTCATATATCAAGAGCCTCAAACACAAAGACCCAAGTTAAAAAGAGAATAACTATAACATCATCCAAAATAGTAAAAACTGGGAAATTACCTAAATTTTCAGCAATAGTGTAATGGTTAAATTATGTTGCAACAAAATCATAAACTGTTATTTAAGTAGAAAAAATTAGGAAGAATTTTGATGACAGAAAATGAGAAGGATGCTAATATAAAAATATGTAGAAAATATAACAACTAGACAGAAATTTCCCAAAATTTGGCAGTGATGATTTCTAGGCAGTAGAGATAACTATAATAATTGAAAAATGAAGGTCATCAGGTGATTCTTCTTCTTCTTCTTCTTTTTTTGCTTAAAAAGGAATGATCAAGTTTTTGAATTTAAGATTTTATTCTCACTTTGTTTAGATTTGGTATATCAGAGCCTTTCTTTACTTATTAACAATCTCTTGTAGTAAAAATATGAAATCATATTTCCCTCAAGTTTCTCTAAACTCAAATATCTACAAATCATCTTCATGTCTTCATGCTGCTTTGGAACATAGTTTCTCCAGTTCATAAATGTTACTGAGTGTACTTCCATGTCCCAGGAGCTTGGCAATTTTTTCTATCATAATTAGCAGTACCAGGAATGGCCTAATTGCCTTTGGAGATCAGGACTTCTTTCAAATTTTAATTTTTTTATTTCATCTTGGGTCACTGGAAGAAACTGTTACTGTGTCCGGACTGTTGCTAGCATGACAAGACTGTGTTTTGAGAGCACTGCCAGGCTTATTGGCATCTAAAGTAGGGATCTTCATATAAGATTTGGAACAATAAATCTTCTATGCCAATTAAAGATCAGTTTAATATGGAGAATATGAAGTATGCTAGCAGAGGAGCAGTTTTACAGAGCCTCAGGATCCCATCTGTCTTTCTACAACACAGAATTGGACCCATAGAAGCTCTTTATCATCTCTTCAAGCCGGGACATTCCAAAGAAACCAGGAGCATTCAGAGCTTTAGGCATATTCATTTCTCTCTTATTCTTTTTTTTCTTTTAAATGTTCTTTATTTTTTTGTATTATGAAATAGTTTAAATATATAGAAAGATAGAGTAACAACTGACTCATATACTCACAACCAGCTTTATCAAAGTATAAGAATTGGCTATACAGTATTTGCTTATTTTTAAAAGAAAGAAATAATTAAAGATATTTTCATTTGCATCCTTTCCCCAATCTCATTTGTCTTTCTCCCTGTGGGTCACAATGGTTCTGAATCTGAGGATTATTTTATGGATTCTTTTTATATACTATTTAGCCATCAAAAATATACATAACACTAATTAGCATGTTTTCAAATTGTACGTGGTATACTATGTTTACAAAATGCTCTGTAGTTCAAATTCATTAAGGCTATTTTTGAGATTTACCCATGTTGACAGAAATATCTCTAGTTATCTGTCTTATTCTCTAAATATTTCTCAGTATTTTCTAAAGGATTCTGAACACAAGGCATGTTTGCTGTTTGTCTCACAACACGTAATTGATATGTGATTTGAGTCAAATGGTTTGGTAATTAACAGTGAATTTTTGCACTACTGAAAATAATCTCATTTCTTCTACAAGTAAAGAGTAATTGTGTCAAATGGAGTTTAAAAGCCAGTGCCTCTGCCTACTAGTTATGGGTCCCAAATCAAGTCCTATACTCCTCTGTAGATATTTCCTCATCTGTAAAATGGGGATAATCATAGTATTTGCCTTACAGGTTTACTATGAGGAATACATGAGAGGATCCATCTAAAACCCGCAGCACAAGAGCTAGCAAATAATAAGCACTTAATAAACGTTTTAGTTATTATTAGTCATTAGAATCACATCTTCATACTCATATTTTCAAACAAATAAAAAGGAACAATGGAGACGGAAGAAATGGACATAGACATAAAATTTCTCTCTGCTTTTCAGGTCACTTTGCCTTTGCTTTTATGGAAATACCCCATCTGTGGAGAAATGCCCTGGTTTACATTTACAAGGGACCATTCAGTAGAAGGAAAAGTGCAGACTGTGGAACCGAGTGCTTAGTCATTTATTATTGTTAATGGTCTTTTGGCAATTTCCTTCATTCCTCCAGGCTTTTGTTTCCTTATTTAAAAAGAAAGAGTCTGAAAAACAAACAGACAAATACAATGCAATGTGATGACTGGGAACAGATAGGAAGCCCACACTGCACGTAACAGGTCTTACGCCCAGACTCCAGGTGGAAGGTGGGGAACGAAGACCTCAGTTTAAAACAGGTGAAAGAGCAGGACCTACCTATAAACACTTATGAAGTAATACGTTCACAGGCCTGGGAGTTTGAATGTCTTGGTTCAAATCCTGTTTTCTTTTGTTTTCCTTTTTTCCTATCTGTGACCACAGGCAAGTTATTAACCTTTAGGCATGTCTGGCACACAATAAGTACTTCAACAAACTATAACTATTTTAAACTAATGCTTGTCATGAGTAAAAGAGATTTTAAATGTAAAGCATTTGTTTAGCATGGTGCCTGGCACATAGTAAGTGCTCAATAAAGGAAAGTGGCTGTTATATCATTGTCATTCTCAGAGGAAGGATATCTGAAGCCGATACATGAAATATGAACAAGAATTAGCCAAAGAGAAAGGCAGAAGAGTATTCTATGCTGGACCAATAGATACAAAACCTTAGATGGGAGAGAGTGCATGGCTTGTAGCGGAACTGGTTGTGCCTGGAACAGGCTAGAGGGCAAGGATTTAGGAGTGTGGTCCATGCCATAGGGGCTACTGTACAGTCTTGCTGCAAAGACGGCACCCACTAACCATCACCTGCAATGCTCTTACACGTGGGCTTGTTTTAGCCCACTGCCAGAGTGTGTGTCATTGCTGGCATTTTATGGACGGTATTTAGTTATATTCAGTAATGAATTTTTTTTTAAAGCCCTGTGTAGTTGAAGGAGCCCCTATTCAGTAGCTGGTGGAAAGATTATAGGGCTAGGTAAGATACTCCTCATTTTGACAATCGACAAAGGAAACAAAAGCCATGGTGTCTCTATTGCTAACAAAATAATTTCTCCTTTCATAAAATCTTATAAAAGAAATGGATTTTTTGTCTTGACAAAATAAATATATATCAGGTTTAGGTCATTCCTCAAACTAAAGGCAATATTAAAAGTGTAATTTGAATTACTTATTAATAAAAAATCTTATGACTTGAAGCATATCTCATCTCTTAGACACAGAGTTGCTGACTCAATGTGATCTATTCTGATGGAAACAAGTTTGTTATAATAAGATAACATCCATATTCCTCTTTTCAAAAATAACTTTATGTTTTTATGTTTGATGGAATGATGAGATTCTGTAATACACTGGAAAAATGCATGATATTCATTCATTGTGGCAGTATATCATAATTACTCAGCTTTTCTTTATCATTAATAACAGAAGATTGTGAATAAAAACATACTAATATCCACCAGATGTTCAGAAAAACATAAATATCCCCACATGTCAGCACTTTTAGCAGAAACTCAACAAAATTTTCTCTACTTCTTTTTTCCTTTTTTAGTTTCCTGAAGATGTTCTTTTGATATGATATTTTTAATCCTCATTAGGGATTTGTTTGGGTTCCTTTAATATCTGCCACAAGAGACTGTATAGTTTCGGAGATAGCCAACATGCATATTGCTACCTTGTCCCTATTACTCTATTGATCAAGAGGCAGGCTGGTATAATGGAAAGCCATCGGCCAGCTTTGTGATCAAAAGGATCTCAGTTTATACATACTCTCAGCTTCTTAAATAACTGGATGACCTTGGACAAATTGCTTAACCTTTCTGAGCCTAAATTTCTTTATCTTTATAATGGTGATAATAATTCTTTCATTGAAAGGTCATTTCAAAGAGAAGCACTAATAAAAGTGCCAAGCATTCAGCCCTATTAAAAGAAGAAAGCAATTATATTGATCTATCTGAAGACCACCTCGATTTCTTGGTTTCCTTTGACTACTGCATTTTCCTTTTTCTTCCCCATTGATACCTTAAGCTTACTAAAATTTCTTTTTCTCTAAAATACAAGCGTTTCCCTTCAGTTTTCATTCTAGAGGCTTATTTTCTCAGCCTGAGCTCCTTTATAAATATGCTGTACAAGGGCCAGGGCAGGCTTTGTTACACTTTTTAGCACCTAAAATGAAATTGTGGTGCAGGCACCACTGATAGATTGCAGTCAGCTCCTCCTGATAGGGAAGCATAACTCCCACATGGACTCCATGAAATGGTCAGTAAAAATTACATAAAATAATTTATTAAGATCTTTTTCTTCCTATGGTGAATTCCATAGCTTCAACTTGGAAAGGAGCAAATGACCTATTGTAAAAATAGTACCAGGGAGCCTGGTCCCCAGGAATGGGCTGGCTATTCAAGTGAGGCCAACTAACTTCTCCAGGAGCAGGGAGAACCATACAATGTAGGAAAAATATAATTTATAGAATGGTACTCTGGTGTCCTGGAAGAATAATTCATTTAATACAGAGGAGTTATTTATCCCTATATGGTAGTTTACATATTACGGTTTACTGGATAAATTTTCCCAAAGTGACCATCTTGTATATGGGCAATGGAACAAATATGAAATAGGAAAGAGGTAAAAATTAAATTTTTTCTTTTTTTGATTTAACCTTTAGAACCCCACATGAAAAACAATTCTAGCATAGAGGCTACGTGTAGAAGATCTCATGAAGACTTTGGTTTTCATGTCCACTGTTTAGAAGGGAAGCAAATACTTGATTGGAAGTTGTCAACTTTTTGATCTGTGAATCCCCTTTCTTCCAGCTGCTTCATTTCTATTGCTATTCAAGCACTATGGGATTTGATTTCATTTAGGTGTGGATTTCGGCCAAGTGGTCTTTGACCCAGAGTGCCACAGCTGTATTAAGAGGTAGTAAAGATGTGCCCTTCCATGCTTGACTCACTGCTATTCTATTAGTTTACTTTACTTTGATAGAGAAATTGGCTAATGCTTTACAAACCCTCCCCTTCCCTGGAATTCAGAGAGCAGCTTATTTATATGTAGATGTAGCTATATGACATTTTCAAATGCCATACATTTGCATATGAAGGTCTCTTTCTTCCCCTTTCAGTAAACAGGCTGTGCTATTACGTCCAAAGCAATGTTTGGAATTACATTTTCTATACAAGTTCTTCCTTAAAATGTTTTTTAAATGCCCAGGAGAGATTAAAAAAATTAAACCCTCTAACTAGAATCCATTTTGTCAGGAGTGAGAATTTATAATTTATGATAAAAAAAATATATATATATATATATATGTATGTATGTATGTTTAAGCACTTCTGTTTCTGTGGCTTTGCATTATAAGTTTGTTAAATAATAATAGCATGGTTAGAATTTCTTAAGAAGAAAGCAAAAGCAAAGAGATATTAATTTGGTATGGAGATTCCTTTAAAATTTTATGTAATTTGGTTTCTAGAGAGATCTCAGTCTTATTCATTTACTTAACAAATAATTATTAAGAGTCTACTATTTGTCAGGCGTTTTTTTAGGCCCTGCATGTACAGTGAGGAGCAAGACAAATTTCTTGCCCACATGGAGTTTCTATTATTAGAAAAGAAATTTGTAAAGATAAGATATTTAAGATATCTTATCTTTACATATTTAAGATAAAAAGGTAAGATAAAAAGGTAAAAACACAGATATATAAATAAATTTCTATTCGCATTAAACAGATTGAAGAAAATAATACACTATTGGCAGAGAGAATGCATGGAGTGACATGGACAGGAAAGACAGTGGCCCAGCATCCCTAAAGGGCAGGCCAGGGGAAGATGAGGAAGCATATCTTTGGGAGAACAGAAAACAGCCAGGGCAAATTGTAAGCATTAGGCACCATTGTACAGAAAAGTAAGTATTGGAACAGGAAGCCCATTTTAAAATACAACTCTCAAAGTGAAATCATTATTCATCCAACATTAGAGAAAGAAACATGAAGCAAGAAGAAAGGAAAGAAACAAAGGAGAAAGAAGCTGATCAGTGGTTCCACAGTTTCCATCTGCTTCCAGGACTTCTTGTTATTTGCCCCATAGTTACCCAGGCATTCACTTGGTCATCTTTGCTTTTTCCTCCACCTGAATTCCCTGCCGCAACAGTGTCCGCCTCTACTTGAGGGTTACCACATAATCATTTCCATGCCCTCTTCTCTCCAAACCTCCAGTCCCATACGTTCATTTCTATGTTGATGTCTTCAAACAGAATGGCTCATTATTTGACCCCCATTCCTGCTCTTCCTCATACTTTTCCCCCATCTTAGGGAATGAAATTGTTTTTCATCTAGGTGACCAGATGAACCAGGTAACTTCATAATTTCCCCAACTTTCCACTTCTGTTTGCCTGGTCAATTAGCAAATCTGGTAACCTTTTATCTCCTACAT